CACCACCATGCAGCGGCCCTTTTTGCTCTAAGGAGGGACGATGTGACTGAGTGAGCGAGCGGTAGTGGCTGCATCATTTGCAGAAGTGGGTTGGAATGGAGGAGAGAAAAGTGTCATCATTTGCACTTTGGTTGTCACTCGGCCGCGGCAAGGAGGTTCGCAAGTGTTAGCGTAGTTGGGCAGGTGCTATTCTAGGTTCCGTGTACTGTACCGGTACCTCCAGTATCTCGAGTACGGCACCCATACTCGCCTTCCTGCACCTCCATTACAAACTCCTACCCTTTTTGCATCCTAATTACAGTCAATGACTATTCCCACACCTTGCCCATAAATGTCCGTTGTGCACGCATAATCACCATACCTCGTATACTATCAGTAGAACGAGACCGAGAAAAAAAAAGAGGCTACCACACCAGAGTCACTGATACCAATATGCGGTACTTAGTGCTGTCTAATCCTGTACCACCTAGCTCTTATTCCAATGCCTCAGAGAACAGGTCTGGCAGTGATGATTATAGGTCTATGGTGGTATGAGCAAGGCAATTCCATTCGACAAATTGCTGCCGATGCAAAAATTAGTGCATCTACAATTCGGTAGGCGCGCCGATGCCTGGAATGACCTCCTTGCAGCGGCCAAGTGATAACCAAAGCACAGGAGGAAATCGCGGGGCGAGTGGGGGTCTCGGGTCCATGGCTGAGGTGTGTGCGAATCTCAAAACTACCGTGTACAGAACTGTACTAGTAGGCGTGTCTGCACGATTGCTATCGGTAATCCCAGGCTATGGCGGGCTGTGGTGCAAGCACTGTGAGATCAAAAATGGCTAGGTCAAACAGAGTTCTTGGCGTTTGGGGGTGTCATAGGTTGTATTTTTTTTTTTTTATCTGCACACGTTTTCCCAGGAATCCTTGGCGATACGGGATGAGTTATCTGGCCCTTACTATCTCACATATGAGGACCGCATGGGGGGCCGCATGGGATACGTGTTACGTCGTGCTCTAGTAGAATGCCCGAAATAGTAGGGGAACGAGGGGAAAGTACTCGTACTTCGGGGCTTGCATTTGCAAGTATCATTATATCATATCGTATTTAGGCGGGTTCTTTTCCATCCCAAAGATGTGGGCGGTAGGTGGTTCCCTAGTTGAAATAAGTTAAGTGTTGTTCTACTAGCCCTACACTCAGCCCCCAGGGAACGCGGGATAGAACAATAATATTATCATACTGGTATCATTCCTCTATCTCCCGTCCTAGGCCAAGAAGATGTTTGTGATTCGAGTCAATATAAATTGTTAGGATCATGTTGCATTCACTTAGCAAATCATATAGGAATTCCCGCTTTAGCATTACGAAAGTACAGTAGGATATTTTTCACTAATAGGTGCGACATGAGCCATCACTCAATCCTAAGGAACAGCAGCTAGCTAGCCATAAAGAAGAAGAAAGGGCGGTGGGAAATATCACCGCAGCTTCTCCTTCTTGCCTTTTTGCCCTAATGAACTATCGAAGTATAGCTTCAGCTACCCCAGCTAGCATTAAACAACACGATATAATACTCTGCGGTGTCGTTACTTCCCGAGTTATGTTCAATTTGTATAAAGAAAACGCTAATTACAGCAAAAAAAAAAAAAAATTTGAACCACTCCCACGGCGGGGTAGGATCCAGAACTTCCCAACGGAGGCGGTTGGCGCATCCTTAAACCTCAGTATACTCGCAGTAAAACATTCACTAACTCGCCACGATCCCCAGCCCCATTCACATATCTTCATCGCTCATCACTCGTTTTAGCCACTTGACCATGGTTACGCCAGCGGTTTTTACCAAAATATCTTGCCAAAGACCAGGGGCCGACCCCCGAGATCAGCTGTTTTTTTACTCCACAAATTCCAAAAGGGAGTCTCGATATTCCAAGGCCCAGAAGCATGGTGCTCACGTACAGCACAACATAGGACAGCATGTACTGCACGTTGTCGAAGCCCAGACGAGCAGAGCCACACCCTACAAAGGATCAACGCGACTTCTCTGATTCCTAATTGCTACCGCCACTAGCTCCCATATTCGCTCCTCCCCCCGTACTCTCGCAGAACATTCCACTTCTCCCCCCCTCTATCAAAATTAAAAAATTGCCTACTAAACCCCCCCGTCTAAATGTCGTTCGATAACGACCTATTCTAAAAGCTGTTCCTATAAGTTTCCATCTTTCGGTGTTTGATATCGCCCAGAATTTTAGATCTCTCAGGAGACTGATTATTCTATATTCCGAAACTCTACCTAGTTCAAGTGGAGAACGCGGAAACAGATGTCGCAGGTAGACAGAAGACGTCGGGGGAATCCTACCCAAGTGACCAGAGCTAGTGGGCATGAATGAGGCCCGTGTTCCTAGTAATATTTCCCACGGAACACCTGTCAACCAGGAGGCAGAGGAACCCGGGGGTTCAAGTTCTTTCCAAAACAAAGTGCTGCGTATACGTCCGAGTATCAGAGGTTCCGAAGTTCGCCCGATAGATTTTTCGGAGTCTTGGACTAATGAGCGGTGCGCACGTTGAGGCCACTAACCCACAATAAATATCACATAGCAAACTAATTTCAATCTCTTATCACGTCAGCTCCACAACCTTATAGCAGATTATTTCCACCATTGCTAAAAGTACTTTATGGTGACAAAAACTCGGGCCTGGCTATTTTCCACCAAAAACAGCCACGCACTGAGGCTCACAAGCTCGGCACTACCGAGATGGGCAGTCCCAAGAAGCCTCAAGCGTCATAAGAACTACTACCTCTCTCCATATTGGAAGCATGAAGCCTCTAAATCCAGAGAGGCGATGTTTTCGTGAAGTATATATGGCAAACGAAGAGATACCAGTATGTTCACTTCTAACTAGGAGCAACAAAGAGAATGGCAAATGAGTAAAGAGTGATGATGGAATGGAATAACTTTGCATGATAATCCGAAAGGAAAGACAAAGTACCTGACTTTTTATAGCGTATGACGATGAAAATAATGATTGACGTGATAGAGAGAAAACCCAGGAATGAGTACGAGATCCCCTGGCGTTCCGACTGCTCAAACAATGCTGATCCCAACTCGATACCTTTTGAGAGGAGTGGTCGCGAGACGGGGTTTCCCGTGGTAGTGATTTGTTCTATTTCCGGGTTTGCTGGGGGATATTAATTTAGCTACCGTAGACGTATACCGGGGTTTTTCAGTTCTAGGATAAATATATTTGATCGAATTCGCAATCAGTTTCAATTCTAATGATGAAACTCGTACTACCCGGGCCAAGTGCTCGTAGATGAAAAGTTCTTCCACACACGAACGGATAGTGGCGAGAGCGCCGAAACACTAGGTCCAGACATAGTGGGTTTCAACAGTCCGATGCTAGCTACAAGGTCCCTTAAGGCCCGAGAGGGCCTTTTATAGACAGTGTAATACAAAAGGTAAAGTACTGTACCGTTGAAAACTCAAATGGAAGAAAAACATGCCAAGACGCTGTACTTGTAGTTGTAGTTGTCCCGGCTAGTAGGCCGCTGTGCATATTCCCTTCACCCCATCTCGGCCGGGGGCTGGGTTTATGGTGCTTTCCCCTCGCCTAGCGCGAGGAGGAAAATTCCAACGTCCCTAACGCATTTTTTTTTTTCTTTTTCCATTCGGGTTCTCGCGGTAGTGTATGATTTGATACATAGGAATCACCCTTCCTCAACGAGTAGGCCATCGACGGTTCCCCAAACGCCCCCGCTACAAACCACCCCCCACATGTCCCCGGCCCGGTCCGACTTAAAAGGGAACCACCGAGTCCGCCGGGGGCCAGGAAATGGTCAATAAATAGGGATCCATTCCTCACGGGAACGAGCTTTTCACCTGAAGGTTGTGTCGGGAAGTATGTCGGGAACCCGAACACGTAGGTAGAGTACTCGAATATGTTTGAGTGCTACCTGTAGTATGGGCATCACGCTGAGTTAACCCACAGAACCTTAAATCGATAATAGGTTCCGGCCATATGATGCCCGCCAAAGTAACATAAGGTGCCTCCCCTACACAACTATACCGGTAGTGCTGTACCGGTACCGTATTAACCATTGAAATCCACTATCCCCGCAAGCAAGGGCTAATCTCCGGTCCACCCCCGATAATTTTGGTTTGACGGTTTGAGGGAATTGCCATGCTAGCTAACAAGATCCAACACATCCAGAAGGCCGCTCTTTTACAGTACCGGGGAAACACTAGTCCTTCCCAAGAATTCGCGACTCAGAATACGAAGGTTACACTATTGGCGGAGATAGTGGATTTCAAGAGTTAATGCGGTACTTTTATGATACTCTAATAAAAATATACTCTATTCTGTTCAGACACTTGTACTCGAGTACTACTGTACGGTAGTATTAGAACAGCACCCCGGTAAGAGAAAGGATGAATAAATCCGTAGACTATGTGTCACGCCAAAGTTCAGTTTCGAAAAAGTTCAGATGGCATGATGCCAGGACGGGTACCGGAAATCGAGTGATATTCAAACCATGCTAGTACCCAGGGCAGTCCAATATTTGATCCACTACCGCATTATCTTGAATAAGAGCAACAGGTCTCAGGACGTCTGGCGTTCCTATTTTGGCGGGGAGGGAAGAAAATGGCATCAAAATAAAACCATGCATTACCTGGAGCGGAGATCTAGACGTCCTGTGAGGTGCTTCTCTTGTTCAAGTTAATACGGTACGAGTAAAACAGCTTCCAGTTCTGGTGTGCTAGTAGCCGAATCAAGCCGATGTCCCCTTACTACGAGTAGTCTAGCTCTGCCTAGACTCTATCGGTCCCTGACGTTAACAAAAGGCAATGGTATCACCTGAGATTCCCATCTACTCGAGTATATTTCGTATTGGTTTGGACTGCTGAAACTAAAGTCCATGATGCTATTTGGAGGTGATGGTGTTGGCCGAATTGCCAGACGCTATTATCGGATCGGTCTGGGCTACCGCAACCAAGCCCATGATATTCTGCTGATAGAAAGGGAATGGTACCGCCTGATATCCCCATTCGCATTCACTAACGGAACCGCCACGTATGGACAAAACGCCATATTTTAGGACCCAACTCCCACCCAGCCCTAAGACAAACCCCCGCTTCCCATCAACTTCCATAAGGCAAACATCTTCTTGTGAACACCCAACCAGATAACACCTCTCAAGTTTCTGAATTCTCGCCACAATGATCTCCCCGCGATGTAAGTTACATTTTCCTTACCCCCCTCTGCCATCGCTCACCAGACATCCCAGAGCAATACAATCGCTCCAGTCCGCTAACCCTTGAGGCAGTGCACATAGGCGCAGGAAGGCCCAGCTCTCTCCCGACAGAGAGAGAGGTATTCGTTCTCCAAAATCTAGCGGCCCAACATGAGGAGAAAGCCGAAAAGCTATACCTCAAACTCTACACGCTAGAGTTTAACAATTTACCCAACTGGGAAGTATGCAGGAGGCTTACGCGCGACTTCAAACAAACCACTGAGATGATCGAGGCCGTTAATAAGAGAGTAGCTCTGGCGTGCTCCGGAAAATTACCCGCTAAGGAGACCATCCAATCCATAGTGCAAGTGATGAGCGCGATAGATACCTGGGTGCGTCAGATCGACGGCGAGATGTACCTCCGGCATACCTCGAAGCCATTGGCGCCCGTTCCACTAGAGGTAATATGCGCTATTCTCAGGCAAGCCCGTTCAGAAGGGAAGGAGAGCAATCGTGAACCCTGCCCCCGCGCCCATCAAACTCAAGTCGGGAGCGCTAGACCGCAGGCAGGATTTTGGGGGAGGCTCTGCAAACAGATTATCTTTGGTCGGAACATGCGCAGCGGTATTACGGGCTGGGACTTTTGGCAATCCTTCTGATACCCCCGCCTTTGGCAGCTCTGGGACTCGAAATCCCACAGCAGACTAATAGTAATACTAATACTAATACGGGGAACGCCTCGGGAGTTATCCATTCATCATTGAGCAAAATCTTTTGTTTCACGGATTTTTATGCATTGTGCCGGGGGTTGGTTGCATCGTTATTCGAAGATATTATAATTTGCCGATTCTGTGTAAACTCTACTGTACTCTAACCCACCAGTAAGCTCTGAGGAGCGTATATTACGGTCGGTAAAGGAAGTCAGACTATGTGTTACGATCGATTATTTAAAGCAACGAGCGTGTGGCAGACTATTCCCTATTCTCTACAAAAACATTTTCGCATTAGAGGTATCGCAGAACGCATTTGTGCGTTTTTTTTTTTTTTCCCCTTCCCCATGATAAATGTTGGAATATTCTTAGGCGGGCCAGTCCGCCTTCTCCCGTATCATCCCTCAGCCCGCGGGACGTTGTGAATTGTCATGACTGCTATCCAGAAAAGAAACCCCATTTCCCGACCACATGCACAGCTATGGATTTTTATGCCAAACCGAAAAACTAAAACAAAAGAAAAAGAAATATCAGAAACCAGAGGTTGGTAGCGATATGAGAACCTCGGAAGAAAGAAGGGAAAGAATTTGAGAAAAAGACCTCGGAGGAGAAGAGAAGCACATGAGAAACCTCGGGAGGACCGTGGACGACGAGAAGAAAGTATAATAGACTACAGTAATACTATAGTTGAATATGGCATGGTCGTGCAGTTGTGAGACAAATGGAGAAGGGATGAAGAAAAACTCAAACGGTGGCTAACGTTAAAGAGAGTGGTGAGGAATGTGTGATACCGTACTATCACAGGAGAATCTGCTAGATGAAAGGGAACTAGTCTGTTTCGGCGGATAAGCACTAAATCTGACAGATGTGTCGAGTGATAAGGAATGAATGTTATGGAAAGTTATCGGAACCGCCAGGAGGACGCTCTCCCACCCAGAAGGCTTCATCATACATCGCTTCCTTAGATGAGCTACCGCTGCTAGATTCCTCATATCATATCATAGAAGCCCCGTCACCCAGTATCTGCCGGACGGGGTGGGGTGTCTGGTGGGTGGCATGTGGGAGGGGGGTTGTCTATCTGGTTTGCCATCTTGCCTATCAAATACTCGAGTACCCGGGTGTAAGTCACTTTATAGTAAATGGAAGTTTGCGCCCAAACATGCGAATTAAAAGAACGGAATATCGCTTATGACAAGTTCAGTGGGAGATGCATTGGGGGTCCCAAGATAGAATGCACTTTGCGCAGCGTCTTGATAGCCCCGATTCACGATACCATTGACTTCTTGTGACCATCCCTGTTCCCTCGACCATTCTGAGGATAACACGCTACACCTGAACAAAACAAAAAATTTATAATTTGTAAGTGGGTAACAGGTATTAACAAGGAATGAATGGACAGTATACACCAGGAGAAAACAGAAAATCCTACAGGAAGAAAGAGAAGGAAGAAGTATAGACATAAAAAAAAAATCTCCGTGCCCTTAAGATCCACCCCATAACGCCAGTCAAACTCCAAAAGGAATAAGAAAAGGAGAGAATAAAAGAAATCGATGGTGCAAAGTATCGAGCAAGACCGCAAGAGGACAAGAGCTCAAGAGAAAGGGTTTCGAAACTCATAATCGTACATATTTTCCACCACGGCAAGTGACTTGGCTTAGTTAGATGCGGATCCCCCGATAAACCGGCTCAGTCCGACTCACCTTGTCTCCGTTTCATTCTCGCATCCTTCTGGGATAACGAGTGTTTGAACCGCCCAACGCACCGCTTCGCCTTGCACGCCGGTAGGATGTCCTTCTGGATCCGATCCCACCCTTTCGAAAAGCAGGACTTTATGAACTTTCGCGTGGCTCCCGGTGGAGGAATCTGCTCTCCCGGCAAGGGGAATTGCACAAAGATCGGATATATCATCATGATTTGCTCTAATCTTTCCGACCGGCGTGTGGATAGGTGTGTGCGCGTGTGTGCCGTAAGGCTTATGGGCGATAGATTCCGCACGGTGGGAAGTTGGGGGGGGGAGGGAGGGGGGCTTTATATATTCCGTGAATTCCACCCACCGGAAAGAAAAGAAGAAAAAAAAAAGAAAAAGCACAGTTGGAGTGTCACCCTATGTAAGGGAGGGGAACTACCGGTAATGAATGTCCATCAACCATACACGATATCCGTTGCGAAAAGGAGCGGGACGGCGTCGGATTGGGAAATATTCCCTGGGTGTTTTGGTTGGCGCAAATTCCGTATCGTACGGTACGGTACTGCGCAGTTAGCACTGGAAGCGGTGACGGCCACGGTGTAAGACATTCCGGGAACGTTTTATTTCGGGGTACCGTACCGGTAATGGCGATCTATTCCAAGTGGGCGGGGGGGGGGCGACCTCTTATTCTCTGAACCATTCACAGTGCAAAATAATCCTCCACAACCCATGCGAATACTGTACCGGTATGTATAATAAGCAATGCTGAGACACTAAGCGCTTGGTCCGCCGGAAGATGCCGTCCAGAGAAGACCAACATCGCTGGCGCTTTCTGCAGCTTGTTTCCTGAGCCTCCGCACATGGTATCATATAAACTAGAGCACCAATCCGAGCTTGGCGTGAAAGCCCCGTCGGGATGAGCGTAATATTTGGGAGAGTGCTGCCGCCTGGAATGCTACGGGTGCAATCGCCGTAGCGGGGCCAAAATCCGCCAACTGAGTTTTTGGGCTCCGAGCTGAGACGTGTGGGAGAACGGAGTCCGCTGCGAACCATGCCCAATCGCGGTTCCACGAGTGATGCAGCGTGATGAATTTGGACCCGTCCGTGAATTCTTGTCAGGCTCGATCAGCCGATATCCCTGTGTGCCAGTTACTATCCCCAGAAATGAGTCTCTTCCACAAGGTTTGGCCATAAGTGGACTAATGGCTGCCCCAAGAAAGTGTAGCGGCGGGTCAAGCTTACCTAGAATTTGGGATTGGCCTTGTACAAGTACTAGCACATAGGGTGAGTTGTGATACCGCCAGCAGTAGAGTTATTGCGTTGTTGGGATAAAGTTTAGGGAGTAGATCCATCATAATTGTATCTGGACACCGGGATGTGGGGGTACTTACAAAAAGGCCTGTTGGTAAGGATCCTAGTAGGTGGCGTTCGAACATTCAGCAGATAATGAGGAGGATCGTTCGTGACTTCCCTTTGGTTTTCATGCTGCTGAAGCATGTACAGAGCTAGTTTTCAAAGATTGCGGATTCCTCCTAGACTTCCATTTTCCGAGCTTTCCTCAAAACACCGAATCATAACCACAACTTCTTATGCAACCCAAATTTCCGGCGCACCCGCGATAGTAGCCTCGGGAGGTTGGCACATAACCACTGGCCCCCCTCAGGCCGCCGCTCCAGTGCTAATACAATAGCCCCGATTGAGGTCGCATGGCCGGAAGGTAGCTTTCCGGGTGGGCAAAGTGGGGGTAGTAGGAATTCGGAAGGGATCTGGGGGAACGGCTGGTATATTTCTGGTGCGGATGAGTAAATCGGGTGCTAATTCTAGTGGGAGATAATGCCATCCCGTAATCACAATGTTTAGGGTCGATTTTCTCTCGCACGATAGCTTTGAGAGCGCCTTCGCTAGGTCCTCCGGTATCGGAAGGAACTGTCTACGTTCAGTCTATCTATCGGTCCATCTATCGCCAGTAGGGTAAAACAAGGAGGAAATGAACAGATAAAAGAAATATAGAAAGAGAATAGGGAAACATACAACAAGGGCTCTATCTCTATTCAACTAGGGAATGGTAATCAAGATAAATGGCGCGAGCTAACAAATGAAATAGTCCCTCCAACTAAGTATGCTAAACACAATGAGTAGAAGAAACTTGCGAGCCATCTCCACTAATAAACGTTAACAAATATCCGAAGATTTCAGAGGGGTACATGTCCACACAGAAGTGGGACCTCCGCCATAACAGCGGGGGGGTTCGAGTTCATGCTATAGGACTAGAGGAAAGGGCACGCAAGGAGAAAAAAAGATAGACGGCAATGCCCAGAATGGAGTACACCTAGCTCCCTAAGGCTAAGCAAGGTTGGCACTAAAGAAGGGATCCCGCACAGTTTGAGCGTAATAGATAGGGTGTCCTGGACTGCTACTCTACTACAGCTCTCCCACAGTCGGTGGGCCGCCGCGCACTCCCGCTTTCCGCAGACTTCCGGGCTTGTAGTAAATTTAGCTTCACCGCTCCTACATATCCCTTCCTAAGGGCATATGAGAGTGGTGTGCCGCAGTATTTATCTAGCCTGTCGGAGTCGACACCTTCCCGTCCTAGAAATAGCTTCACCACTCCTTCACGTCCTTCGATAGCGGCGTGCCCGAGCGGCGTTCGATCCCTATTATTTGGGCGATTAAGGTCAACATTCCCTCGTTTCAGTAGGAGCCTGATCACTCCTTCATGTGCCCTCACAGCGCCATGCCTGAGCGGTGTCTGGCCGCCCTATTCCGGGTGATTGGGGTCGACAATTTCCCTTTCCAGCAGTAGCTGGACTACCCCTTCATGTCCCTCGACAGCAGCGCACCTGAGCGGTGTTCGATCATTCTCATCCGGGTGATTGGGGTCGACCTCCTCCCGTTCCAGCAACATCCCGACCACTCCTCTATGTCCCGTGATAGCGGCACATCCGAGTGGCGTTCGATCATTCTCATCTAAACGGTTGGGGTCGACATTTTCCCGTTCCAAGGGTGGCCTGACCGCTCCTCCACTCTCCTTCACGACCGCGCACCCGGGTGGTGCCCGCTCATTCTTATCTGGACGATTTGGGTCGACATCCTCCCGCTCCAGTAGGAGCTTGACCACTCCCCCAGGCCTCTCCATAGCAGCAGACCGGAGTGGTGCTCGAGCATTCTTACCCGGATGATTGGGTTTGACACCCCCCCGCTCCAGCAACAGCCTGGCTACTCCCTCATGCCCTGTAATAGCTGTGCACCCGAGTGGTGTTCTATCCATCGCACCTGGACGATTGGGATCAATATTTTGCCATTCAGTAGCCCGACCACTACTTCATGTCCCTTCACAGCAGCCTGCCCGAGTGACGCACGACCATTCTTATCCGGACGATTGGGTCGACATTTTCCCGTTCGACACTACTTCATGTCCCTCGACAGCAGCCCAACCGAGTAGCGTTGGCCATTCACATCCGAGTGATTGGGGTCGACATCTTCCCGCTCCAACAGTACCTTTACCACCCTCCCTACCCACTCCACGCTGTCCATGAGAGTGGTGTATTTGCTGCGCAATCTCGTTGGTTAGTCTGGTAGCCTTTCACATTCATTAATGCAGTCACAAGCCCAGAAATCCCGAAGGAAAACGCGCAGTGTAGTCCAGAGTGGGGAAGTGCCGAGTCCCCGATATAACCAGGGCGCAGCACTTGCTTCAAAAATGATACGACGAATAGGTAATCTTCGTATTGATTCAAGAGCTGGAACGCAAGGGGCACCGCATGGTCTAAGAGTTCCCGTTTCGCATGCGCTCTCCAATATCTCGAAGAATATTTGAGGAACGATATGCTGCAGTGGCCCGGCAGAGGATGGGATGGGAGGTCCTTGACCTGTTGTGAGTTCACATAGGTCAAGCAGCTTCTGCAATCATAAAGTGAGGTTCACTGAAGAGGTCTGGATGAGCACAAAGATACCATTGGACGGCAAAGTGGACAGCGCAATCGAAGCCTCCACATCGCCTAAGATCAGGCCTTGACAGCAGCCTAGCAATGTACCTACCGAAGAAACATTTTCGGCATCGAAACCCGTCGCTTCTATCTCCACTGCCAGTGCATAGCACAGCCCGCCCATCTGTAACGGGCGTTCCGAATGACAAATCCCTGAGAACTGCTATCACAAGTTTTGTCTTTTCCCCATCTTGAGCCTTTATCTGCTCCAGCATCCCACCGTATGCATTCGCTAACCCTGCCCCATTTTCACTGATTTGAGCTTTTTTCCTCGACGAGCGATGGCAGCTTCTTGCAGGATTACCTGCAGAGAAGCTAGTAGGAACCTAGTTTCGAACATGTCAGCCATTAGCCAGAGGTGGCTTTACGTAGCTCCACCTCTGCACTCGCTTTTACGCACGTTTCCAAGCTTATTCCAGGAACAAGGTTATTCCAGGAACGCTCCTCATAATACTTGTCCCAAATGTGCTTCTCATTGTTTCCGGAGTAGTGTCATTCCTGAGCTTTCCGCCGTTGGGGCCTATAACATAACTTCTCCAAAATTCCGGAAACTTGCAGACCTCTACCTCCAATGACCTTTTTCTGGTTTCGGAAACCATGGACTACCGCCCCAGGAATTTCTTCTAAATCCGCTAACAAGCTATCCCAGCAGAGCAGAGCATATTTATAGGTGACCGCTCATTCTTCCGTGATATAGCTCCTTCCCGCCCCCGGATTTCCATCTCAGAATAAGGTCGCATAATTAGATTCATCCTCCATACTTCCCGTATGCCAACGCCTGAATCCCTTGGTTTCCGGTAGCCAACCTCTTGCACTATCTACCCGCTGAGCTCCAATGCCTCGATGCCGTACCCGTAGCCCCAATGGAGACAGCCGCCCTAGTATCCTGAGCTCATCATCGGGAGCAGCGCAGTTGCGATGATGATGGAGTTATCGTTCCTTTCTAAGGGCTCGGCTCATTTTTCTCCTTTCGCCGCTTTGAACATGATAGAGAGCGAGGTGTTGATTAGCTTGGGGTCCGTTGATGCGATCACTTGAAATCGAGGAACAAGGTTGATAATTAAGTTTAAGTGGCTACTCGTAAAGTACGTACATTACTCGAGTACATGTAATGCAACCATGGTTTATCCCCTCTGCCGCTGAGACACCGCAGCCCCAATCAAAAATTTAAACCCAGCCACAGAGCACCCGAGTACTTACGGCAACCGATCAGCGTATTGGTAAACCTCATCTCATCGACATCGCTCAATCTTGCCCAATGGTATGTACTGTACCAAATACTACAATCAATCCCATTCGCTACAATCTTTA